ACCCTGCGTAATCATGACGCCGAACTATCATCGGCGGAGGCGGGGCCAGTCAGCTCATAAGAGCAGACAGCCTGCTGGGGTCGGAGCCTTTCCTCCTCATCTTGGTTCGCGCAATAAAGATTACCGCAGAAGACTTCACTCGCGTCTGCCTCTTATTGCTGGACGATAAGAAACGTGGGTGCGACACATAGCCAGCTTTTAGTCTAGACACCTTGTATCTGAACTTCGGAATGTTGATCATACACTAGTATTTCACAAGCGTGCAAGCGTTGGAAAACTAATTTAGTTAAATTCTCATTATTAAGAATTTACATCTGGGCCTGGCAGGATAGCATAATGGTTAAGGTCCTCATCTTGAATATGCCGGGACCCCATATGGGCGATGATTCTGATCTTGGCAGCTCCACTTCTCATCCAGCTCCTTGCTTGAGACCTGGGAAAGCATTCGAGGATGGCCCAAAACTTTAGGACCCTACGCTCTTTTGGGAGACCCAGAAAGAAATTCCTGGCTCCTGGCTTCAGATCAGTGCAACACCGGCCCAACAGCCACTTGTGGAGTGAATCTTTGGATGGAAGATCTTCCTCTCTGTCTCTCCTCTTCTCTGTACATCTGCCTTTCCAATGAAATAAATGTTTTTTTAAATAATTTACATCTTTTAAGAAAAGTGTAAATCCTTGAACAAAAATATTTGAAATCAGTTTGCAGAAAGTCAAGAGACAAGGAATTTTATCATTTACCATCAGGGTATGTGACCCAAAAGGTCAGTTGTTCTGTGTCTTAGTTTCTTCATTTGAACTGTATACACACACAAACACACAAAGAAACACACACATACAAATAACAGTCACACAATATTTATCAGGTCTATTAACCTTTCAGATTTAAGATCAAATTCATGAAATATGAATTCACTTAACAGTTAACTAAATCTAGTCTACGCAAGTTAAAGAAAAAAATTTAAAAAGAGATTCAGAAAGACAGTATCCCTGCCAATGTAAAGCTGGCATCTATTTTTTAAAGCTTTATTTATTTTTTATTGCAAAGTCAGATATACAGAGAGGAAGATCTTCCCCATCTGATGATTCACTCCCCAAGTGACCACAATGGCCGGTGCTGCACCAATCCGAAGCCAAGAACCAAGAGATTCTTCCAGGTCTCCCATGTGGGTGCAGGGTCCCAAGGCTTTGGGCCATCCTCGACTGCTTTTCTAACTCAGAGGTCTGAGTTGTCTTCTGTGTGATTTTAAAGGGGCTGTCCTGGTGTTTTAGCTTCATTCTGCCTGGTGTGGATGACATTTTTATTAATTTATTTTCTGGAGTGCTGCTGCCAAGTTTGGAGTCTGTACTCTTTTTTTGATTCTTCAGAATGGTGACCTAACTTAGGTTGCACGTTAGTAAACCTCACTTGTCCCTGAGAGCTTCACATTTGGCTTAGGTCAATGTGTTGTGAAGTTTCCAGAGGATCTTGTAATAAGGCTGGACAACCAGGTCTGCAATCTGACACATTGGAGCTGGAGTTCCAGCCAAATAAATTCAGTCTAGGCTAGAATTTTTTCAGTGTAACCTTATTCTTAACATTTATTCTGGTCCAATTTTGAAATAGAATCTCATGGAAGTGTTATGAAGGAAAATGTATAATTTGGGGACAGATTGCAGGAGTAATGGCTCTCTTGTAAATACAGAATACAGATGGCTGTTTAGGAAGAAGTAGGTTTACTTGGTTGCTATGGAAAAACAAAGCATATAACACCTTTAATATACTCAACATAAATTGACAATATAAGCCCATTTTAATGTGAAATTTAAAGTATTATTCAATTTATACAATTTGTATAATTTAAAAATTTTAAACAATTTATGAAACCCTATGAAATTGAATGCTTGCTTATAATTCTGTCATACCACAGTGCTGATCCTGGTGCTCACTGTTACAGTTGAAAGAGTTCAGTTGAAAGACTTTCAACTGAGGCATAAATTTGGCAAGGCTGACATTACAACATTACAACTCAGTACCTGTTGACAGGAAAATTCAAAGACTTCAGCCAGAGGCAGATATCTATAGGAGTAGCTCATCCAATGCAAGAAACTTACTGTGGGGAACCATGACGCATGAAATTGGTATGGATCTGAAAAATATTGGAAGCAGCTGATACATAAACTGCAGCTAATACATAAACATCAAAAGTCTGATGACAATTTTTATATGTCTAGAATATACCTCCTGGAGTCTCAGCAAGCTCTGAGACCATTGAGTGAGGTGATGGTGCTGTTTATCTGCAGAACCATGGGAGACAGACTGGTGAAAGATGTGTTTACTGGGAAGATCTTACAAGCTTATATAGAGTAGAAATGGGGGGGGGGAGACAGAACAATGGTTTCAATAGCACTCCCACCCAGCAATGACAATGTAACTGGCTAGTAGACATGCCTATCTCTCTGGAACCTCTCAAGTCACAGGTAACATGTTACATCCAGGTTTGGAAGCTGTGTTCAGGTCACATGCAGTTAGGCCAAGATAACATACCACATGGGCTGAAAGTTATACTATGTTCATTACATATGACTGATAAACAGGATGGGGGTTGCATTTAACTTCTTATCAGGGGAGTTCTAGCACAGCTTCTTCAAGGACAGAGAGACTGGGGTGCACTCTCATGTCTCTGGAGTGATGATTGCTCATCAAAGGCTTCCCTAAGCTTATTGCACTCATATCCGTTCTCTCCAGTGTGAAGACTCTGATCCTTTGTGAGTTCTGACTTCTGGTACATATTTTCATTCAATTCATTACACACATTGAAATTTTCTCCTATGTCAGTCAGTCCTCTGCTTGGTGGTAAGGCAAGTTTACATCTAAAAGATTTTGTACAGCATCTATTTATATGGTAACTTTTTGCTCTCCGGCTTGTCTGATTTACTTTGACATCTGTTGTACACGTAAGAGATTTCTCACTCTTGAAATGTCCATGGAGTTTCTCTATTGATTGTGTTTCCTGATGTTTGCCAAAATAAAGATTCTTGTAGAACATTTTCTTCTCAACCTGAATTGTTTCTCCCACATTGACAGGTGGCTTATTACACGGCTCTTAAATATAAAGTTGCTCACACATAAGTAATATCTTCTTCCCACTGAAAGCTTTTTCTTTCTCATTGTGTTCAAAACACTGTAGAGAAATATGTATCTTGTCCTACTACTGAGAGTTTCTCCACTCTGGAGGCTATTCTCAGGGACATTAGAAGAGTGCTTTTTCCCAAATGGCATTTCATCAGGATTCCTAGAGAAAAAAAAAAAAAAAGAAAGAAAGAAAGAAAGAAAGAAAGAAAAAAATGGAGTCTCTCCCTCTCTCCCTTCAACAGGAATCACATCTCTGAGCTCCCTCCTGGGATGTGCTTTTCCCCTCCTGTCTCCCAAGTTAACCTGTTCACTTAGTACATAAAATTTCAATTTGAAACTGATCCCCAGTCTCTGTTAGTATAAGCTCAGGAAAGAACCACTGTGTGTTCCTGGTAACACTTGCTGTAATGTACAACATGTCATATGAAAAAGATTTCTTGTTCTTAGATCAGAGCTATCTGGCTTGACTTAGAGGAGAGAAGAGTGCACAAGGTTGGACGGCTTCCATGAAGTGGAAATAAATGTGTTTGCTGTGTATCGCAAACTCACTATCCTAGGATTTACCTTAGCCATTCCACAGCTTTTACTCCCTTGAAGACAAGGCTAAGAGAACACAAAGTATACCAATCATTTCTTTTTCCTTTTTTTAAAAGCATTTATTTTATTTTTATTGCAAAGTCAGATGTACAGAGAGGAGGAGAGACAGAGAGGAAGATCTTCCATCAGATGATTCACCCCCCAGGTGACCACAATGGCTGGTGCTGTGCTGATCCGAAGCAAAGATCCACAAGCCAGGAACTTTTCCTGATCTCCCACATGGGTGGAGAATCCCAAGGCTTTGGGCTGTCCTTGACTTCTTTCCCAGGCCACAAGCAGGAAGGTGGATGAGAGGTAGAGCTGCTGTGATTTGAACCACCACCCTTATGGGATCCCAGTGTACTCAAGGCAAGGACTTTTGTGACTAGGCCATCACTCCAGGGCCCATCAATCATTTCTTTAGATGATATAAATATGTCACCAAGGAATGGTGCTCTGGAAGGAAAAAGAAAAAATTAATGCTTCAAGGGGTTAGTGATATAAAATAGATGAAACACAAGAGATGACGTCCAGTTTTGGGGCAGTAGCTGCCACTCTAAACTTTTGGGCTGTCCTTGACTGCTTTCCCAGGCCACAAGCAGGAATTGGTATCTTTCAGGGTGAATGAGCAAGCCAGAGGATACGTTAGTCATGTTTGTTTGTTACAATGTGTTTTAAACCTAAGAAAAACAAAAACAGTGTATTGAAGATCATTTAAATGTTTCAATGTGGGTTCACAAGTAGAAGATATTCCAACAAAATGTCTGGACTTAGGTAAAAGGAGGTATACTAAGACTTTTGAAGCTTTATTGATTAATGTATGTTTTACTGGACAGACATTTTCTTCCACTCTCTCACCTCCCACATGCCTGTAATAGCCATGAGATGAAAAATAAGTCAGGTTTTTCACAATGATACCCAAACTGCTATCTGCTGCTTCCCAGCAGGGGCAGTAGTTGCACACTGCATTTGCACAGAACTGAAACCCAGGCGTTCTGATGGAGACATAGGAGTCCCAATGTCACCTTAACCACTGTCACACACATCCACAAAGGTCAGTGATGCTTTCCTGTGCTGTGTCAGGTAGCCATTCACTGCTTTTCTCCCATGCCTGCCATTCAAAGGAAACAGTTCTTTTAAAGTGCTAATGCTGATTTTGTGAGAGGATTTAAAAAAAGACAACATACTGAATTGTATCTTGGAGGAAATTGTGGCTAGTGTGATTTTCCAGGGCAGAAAGCAGCACTTGACATTGAATAAGAATTCTCGACATTCAGAGATTTATTCCCTGCCTTAATTCTCTCTCTTGAACCTGACTTATTCCCTCTACAATTCATAGGGACATTTAATCCCAACTATGAGAACATAAGTCAATGGGTGACAACATATCAGATGCCATCAGGATAAACCAGTACTGGTGCCTTAACAGCTCCTTCTTTGGGTTCTTCTAAGGAAGCTCTTTGCCTGAGTCCCTGTGCACAGTTTCACAGGTTCTGGGATTCCCCAAGGCGCTTACCCCATATTGAGTTCATAACCAGTTACGATATCTTTATTGCGGGCATGGACCATGTAGAGAGTTCAGCTTGTTACTGTCCAGATAATTTCAACAGTTTAATTGGGAAACCATCCTTGATCTGAAAGTAGAGCTGGCAGAATATCATTCCCTCCAATGAGATGTCACTACACCACTTCAACAACAGCAAGAAACATCAAAATTAACAACATCATGAAGTTAATTAATGTGGCATTGAGTGACAAACATGTTAGAAAACCACATCGTGTAACTACTTCCTTGACATCTAAATTTTAGTATATTCACTACCGGCAGCTATTAAAAATTTTTTTTTCGGAGTTTGGGAGGAGTTCGGTCCTTGGGCTTGGGGGCAACTGACGCTCCCTGCAGTGTGGCGACTGTGGGGGGTGCCCCTGCCGGGTCGGACCCAATGCGGGGGACTCACGCCAAAGACACTGCCACAAGGCAGTGAACGAGTCCTCGGCCTCCCCAGGGCGGCCAGTGCACCAAGGGGTGCCAGGCTTTGCCTGCTGGCCGCCCGGAAGGGCAAACTCTGGGGTTTTCAAGATATGTAATTGCTGCCTGGGTCACTCATGACTAAGACTAGTTTGAGTGTAGGTGCAAAGTGAATTTTCGGGTATTCTCAGTGACAGTGTCATGAAAGAGATAAGCAGGCAAGGGGACCAAGACCTAGTGGTTTGGGGGAAGTGTCCAGAAGATAATTTTAGTAAGACAGATGCAACAGCTCAATTATGAATACAGAGATGGGATATTAGTATAGAACATCACTGATCACCATATACTAGCCCACACCGAAGCTATGGATGGGGGCCTCTTTGGCAGTGTTGGGTACCATTGCCCGACTGAGTGTTGGAGTTGTGGAGTGGTCACATTTGGCAGGATCAAGACACTCTCCAGCACACAAGAGAACTTGGGCTGGGGGTAGGCTCTGTGGGGTTGTGTGGGCCCAACCCTTTGGAATACAAATCCCCCGGGTTAGTTCCCAAGCTGGGGTTGCAATGGTCTAAGCTAGGTGTGACCACGCCATCTGCCATCACTCATGGGTAAAGGAATCCACAACAGTCAGGGTAGGTCAAGGCAGCAGCACCCAAATGTGCATCTTTAAACAGGATGTGGGGTGGGCCGGGCTGCCACTGGAAGGGGACAGAAGGGGCAGGGCTGAACAAACCTTAAATCACAAATAACAACAGAAATCAGGTTGGAGCACAGCTCATGCCAAGTAGGTCCTTGCACATACTGATCTGTGTGAGGCAGAGGCACTAAGCCACAGCATCCAAGGGGCCACGACAAGTGAGGGGCTCTGCCAAGCGGAGACAGAACAACCACCGGCCTACACCTGCTCTATGGCAGGGAAGAGGCCCGGTTGGGGAAATAACAGGACACCCTAGCTGGGTGGAGTTTCCCACCAAGGAGCGCATGGGCTGGAACTGAGGCTACATTCTGATCAGGATACGATCGTAATCTCACTTGGCACAATTGTGGACTGGGATGGGAAGCACCAAGCCAGGCCAAATTCCAACACCATCTGGTGCTCTGGAGGACCGGGGAGGGTTGTGTGACAGACTAAGTTAGGTCTCAGCCCTTACTGAACCATGTGTGAGCTTGGTAGGGGTATGGAAGAGCCATGGCTGGGTTGAAATATCCAACAAGAACCAGCTTGGGTCGGAGGCCAGGCAGGAAAAGCCACTGTTCCTCCTAGGATAGCAGGCGAACTGAGTGGTGCTGGCTCATGGACCCACTGGTATGCGTGAAAACTGGCATTGGGACAGGTTCTGGTGGGGGAGCCTGGGCAACTTCTCTGGCAGGACACAGTCCCATGCAGGTAAGCGCAAGAAGCACAATAGGGAACAACCCAAAACAGGCAATGAAAATTATCCCACTGGCATACACATGGCATGGGTTGGGGGCAGACCAGCCTGAATCTGTTCACATTGCCTTCTGGTGAATCCGAGCACCAGAACAGAGTGTGGGTCGAGCCAGGTTCGGTTGCAACACATACCAGTACACAACAAGTAATGCCAAGATGAGATGAGCCGTACCAGATGTGGCTGCAGCACACAACCAGCATATGTGACAATCAGGGAGGAGGCAAAGCCAACAGGGGAACGTGGGCACCCCTGCTGGATAACTACTTCCATTGGAAAGTGTGAATACGGATGGGGGCAGTTCAGACTAGGCAGGGCTATAGCACCTGTGGGCCTCACGGTGAGCTGACTGTTCTGACTGGTGCAAGTTAAAATTAGAGTGGGTTGAGGGGTGTTTGGGCTTAGCCACAGCGTTAGCTGGCAGAGGCTGGTACTAGGAGCCAATTCTGACAAGTCAAATGCCAAAACTACCTGGAGACTGCATACTCTAGGAGTGGGTGTGGCCTAGTAGGGAAATAGTGGGCACCTCCCTCAGGGTTACCACCCTAACTGGACAGCACAAAACCCAGGCTAAGAGCAGGGGTGGCTTGACAGAAAGGCACCTGCCAGTGGGTGTATGGGCTGGATAATAGGTTGGTTGGGTTGAACCAGGCTTCAATGTCCATTGACGTGTGCGAGAGCTACTTGGGATGTGGGACAGACTGGACAAGCCTGCAGTGCATACTGGCAAGCATGGGAACCAGGGTAGGGGGCAGAACTGGTAGGGGTTTTGGGGAGTCGCCTCAACTAGGCTGCAGCTCCAACTGGTTTGCATGAAGACCAAGTATGAAGTGGGTAGAATCAAGCTGGACTACAACACCCATTGATTCACAACGAAGACAGGGCTGGAAGCCGAACGGACCCAGTAATTGCAACGACCAGCATATGCATAAGCTGATTGGTGTGACGCACAGTGTTGGAGTCTGTACTAGCAAACTCACTCAAGAATCAGATCTGGGATCAACTCAGATGAAATTTCTTTGGATATTTCTCGAACTGAACTGCTGATCTTGGAACCCCAACCATCAAGAGACTGTCAGGGAGTGGACTCTGAATAGGTTTCATTACGGTTGGGACGGAGAGATTGGCAGCAATCCAGAACTGATGAACTATCAAAACTGTATGAGCAGGACCCTTGGAGCGCGCCTCATGTTGGAAATCGGGGATGGGTGGGAGGTAGGGTGGGGCTTTCCCCTTTGTTACTCCCCTAACCCTAGATACAGGGCAAAATGATTATATTAGTGTGGAAACAAAGATATTACCCACTTTCACCCTGTAGCCCGTGACCCTTTGTACCCTAATAAACTAAGATTATTAAAAAAAAAAAAAAAATTTTTTTTCTTTTTACTCCCAAGCTAACATAGTTTTGAGTTTAACCTAAATCAGCGTGGCACAGGGACAGTGAACAGATCCACATTAACATCCATCAGATATAACAGCTGAGAACAACAACACTAAAGTTTCTATGCAGTTAGATTTTGTTTAGCATTAGCAGCCTTAAATTGATAAATTTGGGGGGTGGGAATCTTAGGCCACAATCTAAACTTTGCAGTATATAGTGATTATGGACTGTATTACAGAACTTTGCATTTTAACAATTGAGGAATAGAAAAGTTTTAGACAGGTGAGTAGTGAAATCCCCAACAACCCAGTGAGCGAGGAAGAATTTAAGTCTACATCCTACCTAATAAAGTGCAAGAGAAGCAAATAGTGAGCCTGACCAGTAAGTACAGGATGAGCCATTTTAGGCTAGTTGGCCTTTTCCCTGCCTGTTCCAGACTTTCTATATCAGTGTCTTTGTCTATCTCAAAGGCCAAATGGAAACATCATCAGTAAGGTACAAGCTAACGGACTATCAACTAGCTGGCCTTATCCATTGTTTATCTGAAGTAATTTTGGGGCTCTCAAGCAACCCTGATGGTTGGTGTAAGAGAGGGCTGCGAGCCAAGGCTAGAATTAGATAAGGACCAGAGAAAGCTTCTCTCCTGAGAACAGAAGGAAACCTACAATCCTTTTATCTCTGAGTGCCATCTGCGGCTGGCTCCTGGCTGTAGTTTCGATGTCACCAGACCCTATGAGAGGGTTTTTGTTCTAGGTCCATGCTGCCGAGTGAGGACCAGAAGGTCCCCTTACTGTCCCTTCCCGCCCTGAATCCTGAGGAGATTCTGGCACACACACTCACTCACTGCGTAAAGTCCAAGTAGTCTGTTATCCTGCAGAGTCTCCTGCGAGGAGGGAGCTCACAGGGCAGCACCTCCTGAGCCACCTGCTCCTTCTTGGGAACAGAACCAGTAATGCGGCTATTGGACCGCTCATAAAGAGATTGGATCCGCATGATGTCACAATGCGCAGCCAATCAGAAGTGTAAGGAGTGTCAGGCCATCCCTAGGAAATCTGGAATTAGGGGGAGTGAGGGGCGGTGCAAGTGACTTCCTCTGTTGCAGCTTGAGTCTTCCAACTGCAGTGGCTGCTGTTGCCTCTCACATCAGTCCACCTCCTGGACTCTCCCATTAGTTCATTTGAATTTAAAATGTTGAACTGAAGAATATTTTAAAATATATGATATAAAATAATAATTTCAATCTCATTTCTCTTAGTGATGTTCATTTCCTAGTCTGTATTTTTTCTTCACATTGTGCCATATCTGCTTCTTATAAATACATAGTAATTTGATTGTATATGTGGATCTCTTGCCCAGAATTTTTGTTGGATCCTCTCAGCAGTGTGTTTGGTTTTCCACAAAAGGTCCATTAGTGCACATTGGTAGTTTTGCTGAGTAAAACATGACCATTCTGCTACAATTTCCTTCCTGTGTTTAATCTCATGATTACATGTTCACAACAATGTGTAAGAGACAAAGTGTCAAGGGGGCTTCTCCAGATTAAATCTAGGGGAATAACTTGCGATTCTGTATGTTATAGATATTGTATTTATATTTCCTTTGTTATGCAATACATATATATATATATTTGTGTGTGTGTGTGTAACTTGGTTTCCTTAGTCTATAGCTTTTAGCTTCTCTTTTAAAACATTTTGAAAAATTGTATTGGAAATTCAGACATACAGAGAGGAGCAAAGACAGAGAAGAATATATTTCTTCGGGCCCGGCGCGGTGGCGCAGTGGTCAAGCTGCTTGCCTTGCAAGCCCGGGATCCCATATGGGCGCCGGTTCTAATCCCGGCAGCCCCGCTTCCCATCCAGCTCCCTGCCTGTGGTCTGGGAAAGCAGTTGAGGACGGCCCAAAGCTTTGGGACCCTGCTTCCGTGTGGGAGACCCGGAAGAGGCTCCTGGCTTCGGATTGGCATAGCATCAGCCATTGCGCTCACTTGGGGAGTGAATCATCGGACAGAAGATCTTCCTCTCTGTCTCTCCTCTCTGTATATCCGCCTTTCCGATAAAAATTTTAAAAAAAGAAGAATATATTTCATCCATTGGTCTGCTCCCTATGTGGCCACAATGCCCCGAGCTTCACCAGTCTGAAGCCAGAAGTCCAGAATCTCTTGCAGGTCTGCACACAGGAGCAAGGTGTCAAGGTTTTGGGCCCTCCTAAACAGCTTTCTCTGGCTACAAGCAGGGAGCTGGATAGGAAGTAGGGCTGACGGGATCAGAACTGGAGCCCATACAGGATGCCGTCCTGTGCAAGGCAATGCTTATACCACTAGGCTACTGCCCCAAAACCACTTTTAAAACATCTTATTTGTAATTGTTTCAGAAAATCCTCTCATAAACTTATTTTAAAAAATTGAAAATTTCATGGAAGATAATATCTATATTCCTGAAATTGATTATTTACATAGCATTTCTTTCTTAATGACTTTTCCTAATTGCTATTTTGATATTTATTTTTTTTTTATTTGAAAGGCAGGTTTACAGAAAGGAGAGACAGAGGGACAAATCTTCCATCTGCTGGTCCCCTTGATAATTGGACCCCATTACCAGATCTGGGGCCAAGAGCCCATCCAGGCATTCCATGTGTGTACATTGTCTCAAGGCTTGGTGCCCCCATCGACTGCTTTCCCAGGCTTCAAGCAGTGAGCTAGATAAGAAGTGGAGCAACTGGGACATGAACTGGCACCAATATGGGATCCCAACACATGCAAGCTGAGGATTTAGCTACTGAGCCATCATGGCAGATCCCTAATTGTTGTTAATTTTGTTAATGGATTGCCACAATGGATCATTTTCAGGATATACAAACACTCACTTGAGGCTACAAATGAATCCTCAGCTACTGCGCCAGTTTATGGGACATGTTCTGTATTTTGTCCTGTGTTTTAGAAGCTTATACAAGCCTTATGTATTTCCTCATATCTCCAGCCCTATATGCCTGTAGCTAGTCCT